CCAAGTCTCTGCTATTGTAAACAGTGCTGCAATGAACATTCGTGTGCAAGTGTCCTTATAATAGAACGATTTTTAATCCTTTGGATATACCCAGTAATGGGATATATATATCTCCAGCAATTCTTGAGAAATTTCTATTTCTAGGTCCTTGAGGAATTGCCACACTATCTTCCACATTGGTTGAACTAATTTACACTCCCAACAGTGTAAAAGTGTTCCTATTTCTCCACATCCTCTCTAGCATCTGTTGTCTCCAGATTTTTAAATGATCGCCATTCTAACTGGCATGAGATGGTATCTCAATATAGTTTTGATTTGCATTTCTCTAATGACCAGTGATGATGAGCATTTTTTCATATGTTTGTTGGCCTCATATATATATTTTATAAAGTGTCTGTTCACATCATTTGCCCACTTTTGAATGGGCTTGTTTGTTTTTTTTCTTGTAAATCTGCTTTAGTTCTTTGTAGATTCTGGATATTAGCCCCTTGTCAGATGGATAGATTGCAAAAATTTTTTCCCATTCTGTTGGTTGCTGATTCACTCTATTGACTGTTTCTTTTGCTGTGCAGAAGTTGTGGAGTTTGATTAGGTCCCATTTGTCTATTTTGGCTTTTGTTGCCAATGCTCTTGGTGTTTTGGTCATGAAGTCCTTGCCTATGCCTATGTTCTGAATGGTTTTGCCTAGGTTTTCTTCTAGGGGAAAACAGGGACATTTCTTATCAGAGTTGTGCTTTAGAAGGAGAACAGCAACGGCAGAGTGAAGGGCTAGAAGGAGAAAGCCTAGAGGCAGTTAAGAAGCTCTGTAATAAGCCTAGAAAGGTTAGTAAGTGGGGATGAGAGGTGACTGGAAGGGCGTTTGGGATTCAAGTTGATTTGACAGATATTAATTGTGTACCAATGTTGTGCCAGATCCTGTGCTAGGCTGTGTGTTAGAGATGCTGAGGAGGATCGTGTATAGCTTCTGCCCAAGATCTAGTGGGGACACAACCACTATTGCCAAGAGGAATTGCCATTCAGAGGTGGTTCTGAGGTTCCTGCATGGAGACGTGTGGATGGTAGCACTTCATTTCTGAGTTTATGGAACATGGATATGGGAGGAGAGTTGAGAGGGGGAGAGATAATGAGCTTAGTTTTGAATATGGTTTATCTGTAGACTTTCTGACTCATACTTGGCAGGGTATTGATTATATTAGTCTGGGGCTCAGAAGAGAAGTTGACACAAGAGTGATTATTATTTTTCTTCTGCCAAACACATTATAAACGGGTTTATGAGATAGCTTATTTTCTTTATTTTTAATTTTTAAATTTATCCTTTATTTATAACATATGTATGTATGATGGAGTCTCACTCTGTTGCCCAGGCTGGGGTGCAGTAGTGCGATCATAGCTCACTGCAGCCTCAAACTCATGGTTGGAAGTGATCCTATCACCTTGGCCTCCTGTGTCGGTGAGATGATAAACATGAGCCACCATGCCTGGCTGTGAGACAACTTTAAAATGTTCTAGATTTCTCTTGTAGATTCCAGCTTTCTGTTTTAGAAAACCACATTTTAGAAAAGATTTCCAGTTGCCCACCTGTTTTAAGATGTAGCTGGGACTTGCTTTAATCATGTATGGTAAGATGATAGACACAGAGACAACAGCTTTGAAAGAAGAGTCTTTTATTTCACAGTTCCCAATAGGAGGTGACATGCTGTGCCCTGCGGGCTGCTCAGGGAAACACTGGAGTGGTCAGGAGGAAGAAGGAGGGGGAAAGCATGAGACAGAGCCTTCGTTGTATTTTTCATAGAGAAGCACTGAGTAAGGCACTGGTGAGCAAGTTTAGGATTTGGTAGTTTGAATAATTTCAGCAGGCTCCAGGCTCTTGAGATGGTCCCTAGATAACCTGGTTATCAGGTGCCTGGCCCTGGAGTGATTGAAGGCGAGTCATAGTTTCCTGGACTCCTTTTCTGTTTCCTAAGCAAAGCAGGTAGATGGGGAGGGGCAGTATGGATTCAGGATTGGCTGGTTTGCTTGTCAAAGGTGTTTTCTCAGGCAAGTTGTTTGTTAACTCTAGGAATTAGCTAACCTTGGAGGGCAAGTCTTCTCTGAATCTGCAAGGCCTGAAAGTGTCAGAGCATAAAATACAGAATATAAACATGATCAGTGCACTACCCAGTATCCATTGTCCTTTCCGTATGTATAGAACTCATATGTGACAGGATAAACAGCTCATGTACTGCATTCCTGTTCCTTTCAGCTAGGGGTTGCCAAGGGGCTATAGGCAGAAGTCATTTGGCGATGCTCTCAGGGAAGTTTTTCTATGAGCTGACTCTTGGGAGGCATATCCTGTGTACTTCCTCAGATTCTCATCTCACAACTTTTTCTTTTTTGTCTGAAATGTGGACATTTTATGGCTGGATCTCCAGTTGCCATGTTGGACCATAAGGTAATCTTCAGAATGGAAGATAGAAGAAGCTGGGATCGGTGATCACCATGGAACCACCATACCAGCCTGGACAGTTTGCCTCTGGACTGCTTTGGGAGACACAAATATACCTCTACTCTAAGCCACTTATTTGTGTTTTGTACTTAAACCTAATTCTTCCTTATTCACACATTGTTGACTTTATCGCCATCTATATGATCAGCTCTTTACTCTCACCTTTCCTCTTACATGACCTTCCACGGCAATTAGAAGTAAAATCTTATCTTTGCTCCCACAGTCTTTCAGGTTTTAAACTGATGTCTCATTAAATTTAGGGAAGGGAGTAGGGCATAAAAAATACACAAACATTAGCAATTAGTTTTAAAAAGAGTGAACATAAGCATGGTTTAACATAAAATAAGTACTGTTTAACTCTGCATATAGTCCTGAATGAAGATCCTTAATAGCTCCGTTTTAAATAGAGGAGTGCTTAGGTTAAGAACAGAAGTGTTGTTCTTTTTGTTTTTTTTTTTTGTTTTTTAAAAAAGACACTTATTCAGCATCACGATCAGACTATTACATTTAGCAATCAACAGCATGGGTGCCAAAAAAAGAAAAAAAAAAAAATCTACATGAAAACCCTTTATTGGAATGCTTTACACTTTCCACAGAACAGAAACTAAAATAACCTGTTATACAATTAGTCACAAATACAGTCCTCGAGTTTTTTGCCCATACACATGAGTATTTGTCTAAATCATGTCTTTGTAGCAGCTAGGCCCTGCCACCACTGTGCTTGGCTGAGTTCACAAATCTGTTGTAACCTATAGCTTCCCTGTCACTTCTCTGGCCCTCCTCTTCTGCCAAGCTTTGTTTCCTAATTAAAATCTTCTGCCACTGCCATAGCCACCTTGGTTTCGTGGTTTGGCAAAGTATTGGCCGCCACCACCACAGGGGCCAGAGCTTCTGCCTCCAAAGTTTCCTCCCTTCATGGGTCCAAAATTTGAAGACTGATTGTTTTAACTGCCAAAATCATTGTAACTTCCACCACCTCCAAAACTGCCTCCAACATTACCAAATCCATTATCGCCATCCCCACTGCCACCATATCCACCACCATGATGGCTGCCACCAAAGCCACCATGACCACTGAAGTTTCCTCCATGACCAAAGTCGTCATTCCCACCGAAACCACCTCCACGACCACCACCAAAGTTTCCAGAAGCACTCTGACCTCTTTGGCTGGATGAAGCACTAACCATTTCTTGCTTTGACAGGGCTTTCCTGACTTCACAGCTGTTGCCATTCACAGTATGGTATTTCTGAATGACAATCTTATCCACGGAGTCATGGTCGTCAAAGGTCACAAAGGCAAAGCCCCTTTTCTTGCCACTGCCTTGGTCAGTCATGATGTCAGTCACTTCAATTTCTCCATACTGTTCGAAGTAATCTCTTAGGTGATGTTCTTTGGTGTCTAATGCCACCAACAAATATTTTTTTTCACAGTTAAGTGGGCACCTGGTCTTTGAGAATCTTCTCTTGAGACAGGTCTCTCTGGTTCCACAACTCTTCCATCCACTTTGTGTGGCCTTGCATTCATGGCTGCATCCACCTCCTCGACAGCTGCATACGTGACGAACCCAAAGCCCCTGGAGCTTGGTGTTTGGATCTCTCATTACCACACAGTCTGTCAGCGTTCCCTGTTGCTCAAAATGGCTCCTGAGGCTCTCATCGGTTGTTTCAAAGCTTAGCCCTCCAATGAAGAGCTTCCTCAGCTGTTCCAGCTCTTTAGGAGACTCTGACTTAGATGCGATCTCAGGGAGAAATGAGATTTTAACGATGCTTCTTCGGCGGCGTCCACGAGCAGAAAGGAGCAAAGTGACGAACGTATCTCAGAAGTGTTGTTCTTATGCTTGCTTGGCAGTATTATAGCAGACTAGAAATACAGAGTGGGAGACTTTCCACTGTAAGTCCAAGATCAGGGTGTAAGCTTGGCCACTTTCTGGTGAGGCTTCTCATTCTGGCTTGTAGCTTACTGCCATCTCTCTGGATGTAAGCCAGGCTCCAAGGAGCATGCCTTTCCATTCTAATCCAGGATCAATGGCACTGAACTTTCAAAATTTTATGCACTTAAACCTCACTCCAGGTGGATAGTGGCTCCTAGTGGAATTCCTTTTCTGTATCTCTGAGCTTTCCGTCCTGAGGAGTGAGACTTTTCACTCTTCTGGGTAATTCTGAGCCTCCTCCATTTGGTGCCGCTCATTTTTCTGTTTTGGGTGGCTCAGAGCCCTACACTCTTTGAAATTGAGTCCAAGTCCTCCATCATCTTTGTGATCTAGATCTCTTCCTTCTCTACGTGACACTGGATACTACTCATTTGCATTTTAACAAAGAGCTGCTAAGTTTAGGATCATAGATGGAACGTGACAATTCATATATCATCTGTGAAGAGGACAGGCTAACCTGAAAGAGCCAGAGAGGATTCCCTAAATTGTGCTCTACGACAGACTAAATTGGGCAGAGATAAGAGACAGGTACAGTGAAGCAACAGGTAGGGGGGCAGATTTATGAGAAAAATATCAAATCAGTGAGGAGAATCTACGTATCAACAGAAAGAACAAAGGTCAGGACTGCCTAATTGCTGACATGATGCGACTCACCGAGGGGGTGTTTCTGTTTCTGTGTGGCATTCAGTTTACACTGGGAATTCTAGTTAATGGTTTCATTGGGTTAGTCAATGGTAGGAGCTGGTTCAAGACCAAGAAAATGTCTTTGTCTGACTTCATCATCACCAACCTGGCACTCTCGAGGATCATTCTGCTATGGATTCTCTTGACTGATGGTTTTTTAATGGTATTCTTTCCCAACGCACATGATTCAGGGATACCAATGCAAATTATTGATGTTTTCTGGACGTTTATGAACCATCTGAACATTTGGCTTGCCACCTGTCTTGGTGTCTTCTACTGCCTGAAAATCGCCAGTTTCTCTCACCCCACATTCCTCTGGCTCAAGTGGAGAGTTTCTAGGGTGATTGTATGGATGCTGTTGGGTGCACTGCTCTTATCCTGTGGTAGTACTGTATCTCTGACCAATGAGTTTAAGTTCTATTCTGTCCTTAGGGGAATTGAGGGCACCAGGAATATGACTGAACATTTCAGAAAGAAGATGAGTGAGTACTATCTGATCCATGTTCTTGGGACTTTGTGGAACCTGCCTCCCTTAATTGTGTCCTTGGCCACCTACTCTCTGCTCGTCTTCTCCCTGGGGAGGCACAGACGGCAGATGCTGCAAAATGGTACGAGCTCCAGAGATCCAAGCACAGAAGCCCACAAGAGGGCCATGAGAATCATCCTTTCCTTCTTTTTTCTCATCTTACTTTACTTTCTTGCCTTTTTAGTTGCATCGTCTAGTCGTTTCCTACCAAAACCCAAGGTGGCTGTGATGATTGGCGAAGTAATTACAATGTTTTGTCCTGCTGTCCATTCATGTATTCTCATTCTGGGGAACAACAAGCTGAAGCAGACATTTGTAGAGATGCTCCGGTGTGAGTCTGGTCATCTGAAGCCCAGAGCCAAGGGACTCATTTTCTCTTAGAGTAACAAAAGGCATGCAGTGGAGCCTGTGAGCCTTGTGGCCTGGCTCAAGACTACAGGACTTTTCCAGACCCTCCTATGGTACCAGTTCCATAACATCACTAGGAGAGAAACACTGATTGCTTTGCCTCTGGTCCCTGGGGACCTGTTTCAAGGCAAAAGCCATGCTTCTCACGGCCTCTCTCTGTATGGTGGTTGTGGAGTGGGGAGGGTGCAGGAGTATAGTAGTGTTTTGGAAATGACAATGTTGTGAGAGCACTCTCACTAAACACATGGTGCAGTGTTTTAAAAATCATCAGCTCAACGTAGTGACTCTGATTACTAGTTTCAACTTAAATTAGATACTAACAGTGATAAACATAAAATTACATAGCAGACTTGAAGGAAAGAGCAAAAGTTTTGCAGTCCTTTAGATGTGGGTTTGAATTCTGCTTCTGGTCAAGATTTTTGGCCTCAGATGAGTTACTTTAATTATCTGTCTGATCCCCTGTTCTGATCTCTACTGGCCATTTTAGCATAGTGTGTTGTGTAAAGTACTCAGTAAGTGAAGGCTATTATTGTAGCTAATATTGGATTGTGCAACAACAGCAATTTCTAAATGATTCCAGTTTCTAAAAACTCATCGTGTGATGATGAAAACGTTGGAAAGAAGATCAAGACCTTTGGATTCTAGATTCCAATTCAGTCTTGCATTTCATGATCATTCTGCTAAAGTACGTTTTCAAGTAATTATTTTGTAGATTGGGCAAAAGACCAAGTAGTTTTATTTTTATTTTTTGTTTTTGACCAAGATACCTACCCAGTTTTAAAATTCCAGTTTTATCAAATGTAATAGAAACACATTTTATAAGTTTAATCAATTATATTTAGGCCTTGATTTACTTCCTGTTAACAATTTTGACATGTCAATGAAAAGATATTGCTTAATATCCTGAAGACTTCTCAAATACGTAAACATCTTCATTTAGGATACATGGCATTATTCAGAAATGTGGATTTCTAGCACTAATGGGGCTCTCAGAAGTGGAGTGTTTGTGGCTAAGAATGTGGACCCTGAAACCACACAACTTGTGTTTAAATCTGGCTTTGGCCCTTTTGAACTGGCTGACCTTGGGGAAACTTCTTAACCAGTCTCTAACTTTCTTCACTTGTGAAATAGAAATAGTAATTGTGTCTGTGTGTGAGTGTGTGTGTTGGGATAAGGTTGCTGGAAGGAATGAGTGAATTAACACATGGAAAGTGCTTAGAGTGCTACACGGAGTAAATATACAATAAAACTGCTATCGTTGTTGCTGTTGTTATTTGGTGAAAAGGAGCATATTTTGACATAATAAGGAGGAGTATTACATTACGTGATTGGACATTTGGTCAGACGTAACCAGAAGTTAATTTTAGGGTTGTTCTGGGATTTACATCTTCATTTCTAAAATGACAGGAATAAAACACCCTTTGTTCTGCACAGTGTGCATTATCCCATTGGCAAACACCTCCCCAGGCAGCAGGTGGGGCTCAGGAGAAAAATCACATTACTGCTAGATAAAATAAAGAACTGACTTGTTCACAATACATTTGAGCTTGCAGAGTGAGTACATTTTGTTGGCCCCACTATAAATTGTCATTGTGACTTGGTGGAGCTGGGCCAGTGGTCTAGGCAACATTTCCAGGTTAACTCTGAAATACATAATTTCAGGAGTTCTTGAGTGGAGTTTCCTGGCCGTGTTCTGTCTAGCCTCAGTTTCCATTTGTGGCCAGACGGTGTTCATAGCCAGAGAGGAAAGATTTCTGAATTGTCCTTGGCTTTTCAGGCTTCTCCTCTTATTGCCCAGTTTGCAGATCCCCTTGAGAAACGGATGAGTTCTGGCAAGTGTCTGGATGTTGCTGTAATATTCCAGGAATGAATACATTTATTGCTTCATTTTGATTCTGGCTAACCTTGATTCCAGTTCATTCCTTCCTCTCACAAACATTTATTTCATACTTACTGTGCACGAAGCATTGTGTGAGACACTGTCTGAGACCAAGCACTGTATGAGATGCTTGTTCCTTGAACATTGTTCCTGTTCTCAAAAACATTACATTTAGTGGGTAATAAAGACATAGAAGCAAGTGTTTAATTTCTGCATCACTGGAACAGATGCTTCAGGTAAAACAAAGGAATCATCCTGTCTTGAGGGTCCTGATGATGCAGGTGATCTTTCTCTTTAGATCCCTTTTGTGGCAGCCATGAAAATGTGTGCTCAGAACTCTGCTGTGGAGGCACAATTGGCTGACGGTGCTAGCTTTGGAGATCCACTACCATGAGGCCACATTTCCTCCCAGCCAGTGGTGGAGCACTGTGGAGCACTAAGGCAGTTCTATTTTGCTGATATACATGGGAATCCTCCACCAGGTAATTTTGGCCTTATCGGGTTGATTAAAAAAAAAAACAGCTAGAAAGTTTACTTGTAGGTCAAATTCTCATTCAGAGGAAGAAAGGGTTCTGTTAATACTTTTTCTATATCGATGCTTGTGGAAATAATTTCTAACGGAATGAGTTCATTCATTGATCGTGCTAGCTAACCTTACACATCTTAATTATAGCACTTCCTCCTACAAAGAACCCAACAGTTTGGTATATCACATTCTGGATAGAGACTGTTACTATCAATTCTAGGATTCCTGCTCTTTCGGCCACATTTATTTCTTGTGGCTTACTCTATATTATTTATTCTATTCAAATGTGATGTTAGTAATATTTCACCATCATTACTTTAATGCAGCCATCTATTTTATGGATAATTAATTGGAACTCTGTGCTATAATTTTCCTTTTAGTCATAGTCTCAGTGCTTATTAGTTCTGAATAGAAAGCTTCTGTAAGCACCTGGGCACCAGGTCAGAAAATTTTTCCAGGCTTGCCTTCCTGTCATCTGTCTTAAAGGGCCTCAAGAATTTATTCCCCTCTTCTGGACCTGATTATCATTTTATCTTAGCTCCTTTTTCTTGCCTATTTCTGTTTGGACTTGGCAGTAGGACTTTGTGCTGTACTTTGATGCTAGTTTGGTAACATATGTGGCTGCATCCAGGATTATACCTTGGTTTCATTCAACTGCTAGAGTAGGTAAGAGATGCCATATTCTTGCATTCACCTATGGCCCTCCATAATATCCTTTGCCAGGGATATTGTGCCATATCCCATCTGAGCAAGTACAGAGAAATCCAGCAATGAGATGCCTAGCTATTTGACTCATAAAATTACAATTAATGCATTACTGTGTATCTCATTTCAGGGTACCTGGATTGACAGTTAAGTGCCTAAGAGAAAACAGCTGCATGTGATCTAAATATAAATCCAGATTTATAAAGGGAACACCCACAAGGGCTGACTTGATTTTTTCTAAGAAAAACTAGAACACAGCAAATGGTTATGGCACAAATCTATATATGTAGCTAGAGAATGCAAAACAAAGGAACCATCATGAAAGGATGGGATTAATTGAGAAAGATTTCCTCAAGAAGGTATTGGGTCTTTGATCTTGATCTATGAGATCACTGTAAATCACTAGAGGTGCCAAAGTGAAAGAGTGGCATAGGCATGGCCAGAATTACAGTTGGAGAAACTGGTTGTGGCAGCAGCAGATTAGATGGGAGAGAGAAATTAGGTTCTGGTCATCCATGAATATGTGGATAGGAGGTGGGTGGTTAGGAGTGAGGAATGAGGATTTCCACCATATTCTGGCATATTTAGGAAGAAACACTTTACTGTGAAGCAGTGACAGAAACATGGTTGGACTAGAGGTCTCTGATTTGGATTCTCAGTTTTTGGAGCCTGCTGTGACTCCTCCCTCTTGCCCTCCTGCTCTTGGAGTGACGCCTGGGATCACCTAGGCTTGTTGTAATTAGACATTTCTAAGGAGAATAGGATACAAAGGAAGAAATAGTAATGCAATCCTCGGAAGATTTGCATCTCAGTAAAAGCAGCTGGCCCTTAGATCATGGATGGCTCATTTGCCACTCTGGGGAAAAATTAAAAAAGAGATGTCTTTTCTGGCTGGATATCGGCGTCTGCTTATACATTTCGGTATTTCTCCTGCCTCCACTATCAGCACCGTAACTGCTGACTCCTCAATGCGTAAAGATGCAGGAGTTACTTTATTTATCTGCTACTATTGCCTCACTTATTTTAAATTTTGTAGGAATCATTATGAGTCTGTTTATTACAGTGGTCAGTTGCAAAACTTGGGTCAAAAGCCACAGAATCTCCTCTTCTGATAGGATCCTGTTCAGCTTGGGCATCACCAGGTTTCTTCTGCTGGGACTACTTCTGCTGAACACCATCTACGTCATGTCTTCAAATACTGGAAGGTCAGTCTACCTGTCTGCTTTTTTTATGTTGTGTTGGATGTTTTTGGACTCGACCAGTGTCTGGTTTGTGACCTTGCTCAACAGCTTGTACTGTGTGAAGATTACTAACTTCCAACACTCAGTGTTTTTCCTGCTGAAGCGGACTATCTCCCCAAAGACTCCCAGGCTGCTGCTGGCCTCTGTGCTGATTTCTGCTTTCACCACTTTCCTGTACATCATACTTAGCCAGACATCACCTGTTCCTCAACTTGTGACTAAGAGAAATGACACATCATTTAATGTCAATGATGACATCTTGTCTTTAGTGGTCTCTTTATTCTTGAGCTCATTTCCCCAGTTCATCATTAATGTGACTTCGGCTTCCTTGCTAATATACTCCTTGAGGAGGCATACACAGAAGATGCAGAGAAATGCCACTGGTTTCTGGAATCCCCAGATGGAAGCTCATGTAGGTGCTATGAAGCTGATGATCTATTTCCTCATCCTCTACATCCCGTATTCAGTTGCCACAGTGCTCCATTATCTCCCCTTTTATGTAGGGATGAGTATGGGGGCCAAATTCATTTGTATGGTTTTTGCAACCCTTTACTCTCCAGGACATTCTGTTCTCATTATTATCACACATCCTAAACTGAAAACAACAGCTAAGAAGATTTTTTGTTTCAAAAAATAGTGCAATTTCAGTAAACAATGCCTAGATTCACCTGATGGTTTACGGGCAAGATTTTCTGTTGGCAGTTTTCCCAGTAGTCTGAGGAATTCAGTTTTGTGATTGCTCATCTGATAGCCTAGGCTTTTCAGTGCCTGTATTTCAGTTCATTCTGTAATTTTTTTTTGATATGTAGATATTTTAAAATAAGACACATTCTCTAATAAACTTTTTTGAGGCATTATTTATCATGCATTTTGCATGGCCATTGCATCCGCAGATAATGGAAATCACCACATTGTTTTATTGTCTATTAAAGTATAATGGGAAATTCTTCTGAATTAGAGAATATATTGGGGTGCACATGAGTTAATGCTTGTGGTTTAGTTGAGGAGCCCCGAGTAAGGGCTCAGCAGTGGATAGGTGGCCACTGGGAGCCACTAGACTGACTGAAAGCAAAGGAAGGGGGTGCAGTGCAAAGAGAAAAAGAAAAAAGGAAGGTTTCAGAGAGAAAAGAAGAAAGAGAAAGGTGAGAAGAAATAGGTGTACACTGTGGGACAAGACAGAAAAAGTGTCCTCGCACTTGCTGGATAACAGTAACTGAGCTATTCCTACCAAGAAACTCTAAGTTTCTAGACTTGTTCTGGAAAGGAGGATAGTGCCAGAGTTGGCAAGTAGAGGGAAGTGATTAGTATTCAAGAAACTGAATCCAGAATAGTTCCAAAGATCTTAAAATCCAGGGGAGGCAGCCTAAGGTCAAAGGCAAGTACCAAATAGTGAAATTAACACCATATGAGTAGAAATTTACAAAATACTGTACCTCACCATAGGATATGGAATTCAGTGGAAAGCCAGAGAAGCACTGGACAGGTAATGGGAGTGCTTGACTTGGGGTGAATTTATTTCATCTGCTTCTACATTTGTGCACAGCACAGTTCTTCTCCAGAATGTTGTTTCTCGAGTTGGGACAAGAGTGTGGTTCCAGAAGAAAGAGGGTCTGAAGATGGGATGTTGACAGGTTTTGGAATGTGAATTGGGGAATCATGATTTGTATCTATTTAGGATTTTTTTGTGTCCATAAAATGCTTATGTAATATTTATACATGTCTAAATAAATCTTAAAGTTTTATAAATCACCAGACTTTTCTTATTCTAGCCACCAGAATTTTGACTGCAATATTCAGTAAAAACTACCAAAGCCAGTATTTTGTGCTATGACACCCAGAGGTATTCATCCTGTTAAATCTTAAGAGTAAGAGATTAAAGGATTACTGAGAGTGATTAAAAGCACACTGTGTCTTAAGAACTCTAAATGGGTGGCAGAAACCCTCGTTGGTCCCTCAGTATCTGCTCTCTGTCCTCTCTTCCATAGTAATCAAATTGTTGGCTATTCAGAATTTTGGCAGCAAATTACATTATTGCCATGTCTGTGAGCAGAAAAGATGTATATAGTTTCTAGGTAATGCTTCAGAACAGTCCTGGCTTCCCTTCTTTTCTCTTTTCTTCTTTACCCTCTCCATGAACTGGAATCTGATGTCAGGATTTTCTATCTTGGACAGTGCAGATGAGGTGAATGCTTAGGATAGTGGAGTAATTCTCCATCCCAGAGCTGGCTCCATGGTTCTAGACACTGTGGACTTGTCACACCAGCTCTGGACTGCTCCAGCCTGAACTCCAGGACTGTTTATGAGAAATCAGTGTCTCCATTCTTTCGGGTGCTGGGTTTTTGGTCTCTGTTACCTTAGTCAAACAACCTATGCTATACTCTAAATATACACAATAATATGTATATAAAGAATATATAATAATTATTATATATTATGTGTATAAATATAATATATATTTTGTGGTGAAATAGTATGTATTTACCATCTTACAGTCAAAGAACATTTTTTTTTTTTTTGAGATGGAGTCTTGCTCTCTCCCTCAGGCTAGAGTGCAGTGGCATGATCTTGGCTCACTGCAACCTCTGCCTCCCAGGTTCAAGCAATTCTCCAGCCTCAGCCTCCTGAGTAGCTGGGACTACAGGTGCCTGCCACTGTGCCTGGCTAATTGTTTTATTTTTAGTAGAGACAGGGTTTCACCATGTCAGTCAGGCTGTTCTCAAACTCCTGACCTCGTGATCCACCCACCTCAGCCTCCCAAATTCTAGGATTAGAGGCCTGAGCCACAGCACCTGGCCCAAAGAATGTTTTTATATGACCTACTAAGTGAAATTGAAATAAAATCTGTGCATGTGGTATAGTATCATTTTTTGGGTAAAAATGACTATATACGAAGAAAAATCTAAAAGGAAACGCATCAAAATGTAAACAATAATTATTTTAGGTGGTAGGAATTGAATAAGTTTTTTGTATATTTTAAGCTTTCTGTGATGAGCATTTTTATATAATCAAAAAACATTTTAAAATATATGAAGTATAGACAGTCTATCTATCTGTCTGTCTGTCTGTCTGTCTGTCTGTCTGTCTATCTACCTACCTACCTACCTACTTACCTACCTAACTACCTATCTATCTCATACCTAAAAGACAGAGAAGGAGTCCTGAGGTCCAAATCTAGTTTGTCCTCACTAAGAAAGGTAAGTGAATTGTCTTCTTGCTTTGTCTGGATTCTTTTCCTTGTATTGGCAAAGTTCTGCCAGTTTGCTGGTTTGTCCTATACTGTCTTCAGTTTTCCCCTCTCTGGTTTGCATGTGTTGTCTTTGTGTTAGGACTATTTTTGCTGTTTGAAGAAAGTTTTCAGTCTTTGCTTAGGCACTTGCCCAAAGTCCCCCCTGGGCACAGTTTTTAAGACTGCTGTGTGTTTAGAGTTTTCCTTGTTCTAATATGCTCTGTTAAATACCCACCACTAACTACTTATTAGCCAGGGACTTAAAAAATTTGGCTTTTGGTTTGATTTTTTTCAAGACACAGTAACGTACAGGCTCTCTAATAAAAATAACATCCTGTCTACCCTTCCCTTTCCTGCAGTAGGTAGAGAATAGAGGGAGACTAAACACGCTTTGTTAAGAAGTCACTTTCTGAAGTGAAGGGCAGGTGTCATAACAGTGTAGAACCTCATGAAACACTCATTGTGGTAACTATAACTCATAGTCATTGCCATTTAACTTTTTTTTTTGAGACAGAGTTTCACTCTTGTTACCCAGGCTGGAGTGCAATGGCGTGATCTCGGCTCACTGCAACCTCCACCTCCTGGGTTCAGGCAATTCTCCTGCCTCAGCCTCCTGAGTAGCTGGGATTACAGGCACACGCAACCATGCCCAGCTAATTTTTTGTATTTTTAGAGAGATGGGGTTTCACCATGTTGCCCAGGATGGTCTCAATCTCTTGACCTCGTGATCCACCCGCCTTGGCCTCCCAAAGTGCCGGGATTACAGGCTTGAGCCACCGCGCCTGGTCTGCCATTTAACTTTTAACTGCTACACGCCCAATACTGTATGAGCTACATTTCCACATGTGACTTTTTAAAGCTGGTCCTAACCTCTTTAGTATGGTAGTTATTGTTTCCATTATATAGTTGAGAAAATTAAGGCACAAATAAGCCATATGAATGGTTCATAATAGCAGAACTAGGAAGGAATAGATTCAGAGCTTCAAGTATAGTCTCTGAAAGCATGAAATTATTGTGCGTGCTTGGTTTCCTTAGCTGAAATGAATGTTATGGTGTCACAAGACTCTGGACTTTTAGGCCTTGAGATTTATATGAGATGTGTTTTTAAGTGAAAAAGTAGTAACATTAAGAAAAAATTATTAGATTTATTTTGAATGTTGCTACTTGGGAAGGAATAGGCCAATAGAAATATGATGAGAAGGTAGATACAATTTCTGTAAGAACTAAATGAAATTCTTAAAAATTTCAAAGACTTTTAAGATTTCTTTATATCACTTAAATTTCACTTAAACAATTCTAAAGATGTCTGGCTTTGGGTTTCTCTGATCATTGTTACTAGCATTCTGTTGATAAACCATTTTCAATTGTTAAAAAAAGAGAAAAGATAATTAGAAAGGAGTCTTTTAAAGCATGAACAGAATGTAACTTTCAAGGTAGTCTCAAAAAGCCACAGTCTTTAGGTGAAATTGAAGCTTACTGAAGGCATTTTAAATAAATTTTTCAATAATTTAATTTTTTTTACAAGTTAAAGCTGGAGATGGATCATCTAGTCTAGTTCACTGGTTCTCAAAGAGGGCTGGGAGGGTGAGAAGTACGTCAGAGTCCACTGGGAATCCTTATTTTTCAAATGTTATATACTCTGCCTTCATTCCTTCTGGGTATGGAGTGGAAGGGGGAAGCGGAACTTGACAAAACTCCCTAGGGAATTGGATATTTGGTCTAAGAAAAGGCACAGATACACATTTATTTCCCCCTCTAAGAGAAGAGCACAAGGCCAGTTTTGCTCCACAAGGAAAAAATTGTGAAAAAAAAATTCCATGTTGGTATAAGAATTTGCCTGGCATACAAGTCAATTCTAAGCAAAAAGAACAAAGCAGGAGGCATCACATTACCGGACTTCAAACTATACTACAAGGCTACAGTAATCAAAGCAGCATGGTACTGGTACCAAAACAGAGATATAGACCAATGGAACAGAACAGAGGCCTCAGAGGAAACACAACATATCTACAACCATCCGATCTTTGACAAACCTAAAAAAAAACAAGCAATGGTGAAAGGATTCCCTGTTTAATAAATGGTGTTGGGAAAACTGGCTAGCCATGTGCAGAAAGCAGAAACTGGACCCCTTCCTGACACCTTACACTACAATTAACTCCAGATGGATTAAAGACTTAAACATCAGACCTAACACCATAAAAACCCTAGAAGAAAATCTAGGCAAAACCATTCAGGACATAGGCGTAGGCAAGGACTTCATGACCAAAACACCAAAAGCATTGGCAACAAAAGCCAAAATAGACAAATGGGACCTAATCAAACTCCACAGCTTCTGCACAGCAAAAGAAACGTCATTAGAGTGAATCAGCAACCAACAGAATGGGAAAAATTTTTGCAGTCTACCCATCTGACAAGGGGCTGATATCCAGAATTTACAAATAACTAAAACAGATCTACAAGAAAAAAACAAGCCCATTCAAAAGTGGGTGAAGGATATGAACAGATACCTTACAAAAGAAGACATACAGGAGGCCAACAAACGTGAAAAAATGCTCATCATCACTGGTCATTAGAGAAATGCAAATCAAAACTACATTGAGATACCATCTCACACCAGTTAGAATGGTGATCATCAAAAAATCTGGAGACAACAGATGCTGGAGAGGGTGTGGAGAAATAGGAACACTTTTACACTGTTGGTGGGAGTGTAAATTAGTTCAACCATTGTGGAAGACAGTGTGGCGATTCCTCAGTGACCTAAAAATAGAAATCCTATTTGACCCAGCAATTCCATTACTGGGTATATATCCAAAGGATTATAGATCATTCTACTATAAGGACATGTGCACACGAATGTTCATTGCAGCACTGTTTACAATAGCAAAGACCTGGAACCAACCCAAATGCCAATCGATGATAGACTGGACAGGGAAAATGTGG